CCCGAGTTCATTAGCCATGGAACAGGTCAGTGCATCCTTCCCAGCTTGGCAGGTCAACACTAATCATATTTAGGTTCTTGCGACCTCCGCGACTACCTCTATCCGCTGCATCAACTGTAGGAGCGAATATACTCGGCCTGGATCAACGTTCGTGAATGATTTGCTTTATCCATCTGTTGTACGTCCAAATCTGGTCTCCAATTTGCCACGAACTAACACGGATGTAGAAATCTGGAGGACGGCCCGCAAAGATGCCACGAATTACCTTTTCTCAGATATTGAAGAACAGTGTAGAGAGAGAAACAACATCAAAGGGATGGTGTGGCAGATGCCAACGATACCAAACCATTGCCACGAGGAAAACCATCCACAGTATTCCGGATGTGCTCCTTCTCAACACTGCTATCACCAGCCAGGAACAACGGATGCTGTGGTCGACCCCTGGGTGGCTCCCTGAAGAGATTGGCATCATTGTAGAACAAGGCCAGTTCTTCTGCTACGAGGGAGAAGACCTCAAACTTCACCTGCAGCGAGGCATGCACAACATTACCGTGTACTCGCTCATTGGTATGGCCATCAACATTGAAAGCGGCCAGACGCAAAAGTCACACCTTGTCTCTATGGTCAATGGTAAGATGATACGCCGTATTGCTTGGCCATTGCTAACTAAGTATAGTGGCGCATGCGGAGCCAGAAGCTCCAGGTGAGAGCCAGTGGCATCTATTCAACGACTTTTTAGTGCGCTCTGTCAGCACCGAAGAGGCTCTTACTTTCAACCCATCCTGGAAAGTCCCTTCTGTTGTCGCCTTTCAAGTCAGGCACGCCAACAACCAACTCGATATGGACTGGAAGAAAAATATGGACCTATCAATCCTATACCAGGATCTCAGGTATAGTACTCGGTAATGCGTTATCTTAGTCCTCTTGCTGACGAATTTCTTAGCCCCAACCCCATTTCCGAGACCAAGACCTATGAGCTATTGGACGCCGAGACAGAGGCGCCTGGCCCTAACACCATCATTGCGCTGGACACCGAATTTGTCGCGGTGCGACAACCTGAGATTGAGATGAACTCAGATGGTGAGCGCGAAACGATTCGGCCAATCGTGTACGCCCTTGCCCGGGCCTCTGTTGTGCGAGGTCAGGGCGAGAATGAGGGAACTCCATTCATCGACGACTATATCTCGATTCGAGAGCCGATCGTGGACTACTTGACATCCTACTCTGGCATTACAGAGCAAGACCTGGACCCCCGAGTCTCAAAACACAGCTTGCTACCTCTGAAACTGGTCTACAAGAAGATGTGGGTGCTTCTGAACCTTGGATGCAAATTTCTTGGCCATGGCCTGAAGCAGGATTTCCGAGTGCTCAATATCCATATTCCCAAAGCACAAATTATCGACACGATTAACCTATTCTTCCTCCAATCTCGCCTACGCAAACTCTCGTTGGCTTTCCTGGCGTGGTACTTGCTCAAGGAGGACATCCAGATGGAAACGCACGATTCGATTGAGGATTCGCGGACAGCCCTCAAGCTATATCGGAAGTACCTGGAATTCGAGGATGCGGGCATTCTGGAGGCGATGCTGCAAGACATCTATCGTGCTGGCCGAGACGTTAATTTCAAGCCGCCGCGAAAGGAGGATGCACAAGTTTCCAGGAGCGAGACACCCCCTCCTGTAGCTGCAGAGGCTGTTGAAGCGCCTACAACTCCTGTGCGGCCAATAGTGATAGGACAGCCTGGCTCGGCCTTTGGAGGAGGGACCAGCTGGACTCCAGGAAAAGGATCACCCCTGCCTTAGGAAGAGCTGGATAGTCATTTGAGTACGTAGGTTGGTATTTTAGGATTAATGGCATGATGACGTTGAGTTGCTCGTTATCTGCGTGATCACGCTCCTTCCCCAAACCTTCTCTCAAATCCCTGAGCCGCCTCACTGGCCGGAACCTCAGGCAGGAAAGTGCAAACCACAGAGAGCAGCCGTGTAAAATCTCAGCCCAGGACTTGGATTGTATTCATCCCAAAGTCCTCACTCTTCACCTTTTCATCATAATCCCTGCGCGCTTCTCGATTACCCCCTCGTCTATCATTCTATCCGCCACCATTAACCCTATATTTGTCCGTATGGGTTAGCTCATTCTATTCAGCCTCCCTCTCACTATTACGCTATGCCTTTGCAACGACATCATTCGGTTGGAAACATGGAGAAGTCCACTGAACCTAGCACCCGCCCTCCCCCAAAATTGTCGAGGCTCCTAACCGCTCCAGACCGGCCCAAAGTTGGACTCTATCATCAAGACGCACGATCCCAGAACTCGAGCGATCCTAGGGACCATGAGTGTCGAATCCATCTTGAAAACACCACCGAGTCTAAAGAACGCGGTGTTCAGGCTTCGCCTCCACCTACCCATCCCACAGCCTGGAGCTTAGTCAGTGCCGGAAGCCCAGACGAGTTGACCTAGAAGGCAAACGATGTCATGGAATTTCGATCCCTCGGTATATGGGCTCATGGAGGCCTGGAGGAGACAATTTCACCAAGTATGCCTCCATTCATCAACGCAACCGATCAAGCTACTACTCCATCCCAAGGTATCCCTGAGGAAGCCTTTACCGAGCTTATGGACATTGTGAGTACCGCTCGCAACTCTGGACTCGGTGGGCTTGCCCAGGATCAATCCGAAATTCCTCTGCAGAACTCGCCAATTGAAGAATCCTGCGATGACAAGCTGTCAGTCATTCACAACTCTTGCAGTCCATCCTCTTCTCAACTTCCTCCAAAACCGACGAGAGGCTATTTTGACGCATCCACAGGAGGGTTCTTCAACTTTCGGAACTCCCTGCTACGGCCAATGAAAGAGCACTCATCCAAGGTTGCGACCACTGGAGGCGACACGCCCCTAGTGAACCACCTCAGCGTCGGCTCACAAAACGTATCCAGCATTTCGTTAGATTCATCACTTCTGGAAAGCAAGTCCTATTACATCTTCAGCTCTGATTCAACCAGCGTAGCTTACCACCTAGAGCTGGATTCGAGTGATAAGGTGGATGCGGAATCTGATTTCAAAATCAACAAGGTACCAATGGAGTTTGTTCCTTGCGAGGAAACAGAAGACTTTGCGTACATCATCCATAAACATCAGGTCGGTCGGATTCCCTCTGGTCGAAAAAGTCATGAAACCCTTTGGCCATCCAGAAACTTGCAGGAGGCACCAGAGACACGGGCCTCGACGGGTACACAACTCCGTGGGAGTGTTGAGAAACTACACCAATCCAACACCGGGGTTTCCTACCGTTCTCACACAAAGCCACTGTCCTTGATCCACAACAGTGGCAACAGGAAAGTCAACAGTGCGGTTCAGTCGAGGATCATGACTCAGGTCGATGAGCGCCTTCGGGCCCAACGGCACCTCAAAGACCAACTCCACGTCATTGACGACAGGGGAAAGTATGTCCCTGGCACCAAGAACATGTTTCTTGTAGACAACAAAGATATTCAAGATGTAGTGGCGATTGTCACGGATGAGATGCGCAAGTCGAAAGCATCTAGTCGCAGGAAATCAAAGTGGATTAAACAAGATTGTTCAAATCCGTTGGGCCCTAAAGTAGACAAGGCTGCGAATACGATACAGCTTCCTTCAGGGACTCTGGCTGACCCGGCGACTACCTTCAGTATGCCGAGGACATCATACGCGAGTTTCGGTATGAGTGATCAACAAACTTGCACAAGAGTCCGTGGAGAGGATTCCGAAGACATGACAACCATCGTTTCGCAAAAGAGCGTCGCTGAAATCACTTGGCCTCATAGAGAATCGCACGTTCATCACCTGAAGGTCTTTTCTGCCACAAATTGTTCTCGACTAATCTCAGAATGCAGTTCGCTAAAGCGCAGAGACTCAACGGCAGACTCTTCGGGTAGTCCGCACCGAGAGCCCAGGGTTGCTATGGGTGGTTTTCTCCTGCACCACTATACAACCTCAATGAATGCAGATAATCTTTTGTCGGACATTTCCCAGAGACGCAGTTCCAAGCAGGACAACAGGACCGAACGCACCGCTCGCATCACATCTTTTCCTCGGCTTTTATCCCGTCAATGCACTGATGACTGGTCCAGTCCGCCTCCGGTAATCGATGCCGTCATGGCTTCTGCCCCGGAAACACTCTATCGGCAAGGTGTCGATGCACGTACCGGTTCCGTGTCGGATCAGATGCCAGAATTTCCGCAAGGGCAAGTCAAGATTCTCCGCTATGATCACGATGTGTTCAGCAAGAATCCATTTTGTGGCGACTTTGAGGAAGATGATGTGGCTAACCTGCGTGATTTCCCGCCTACGGTGACTCCCAGATCTCGACTGGGTGTTTCCATCGGGTCAGCGTCTCATAGGCGTCGGAGCTCTCAAGTGACTGCCCTACTAAAGCGGCAAGAATCTCACGACGGCTTCTTTCCCACGTTAATCGACAAGATTCGGCAAAGAGGGCACAAGATCTTTCATCCTCATCATTCTCGGAGGGTGTCCGAGGAAATGCGGACGCCTCCGAGCTCCGAATTCACTCGTTCATGCAGTGGAATGCGTTCGAGGGACATTGCGGTGAAGTATCTGACGCCAGAGCCACCCAAGCCAGACACGGCCGGGATATACGAGGCGATGACGGGGACCCGGGCAGTTGTCAGTCGGTGCAGGAATGGACAATGCTCGGAGGACAACCGACCCCATGTGTGTGAAAATGATTATCTTACACCAGTTGGTGCAGCGTCTCCAGTTTGAGGGATGGGCGCAGAGGAGACACGAAGAAGTGATCGCAATAGATGGCGGAATATCAGAACCGAACTCCTAATACAAGTCTTTCTCGCTTGAGGATATGCCGGTGCCATTGGTGTTCAAGTGCCATTTCAAATAAGGTAGCAATCATTGCGCAAGCATGATGTTTGACCATTTCCGCTATGCATCTGCCTCCCTACCCTTCTTGAGCAGGACATTCGAGCAAGGAACACGTGACAAACCAAGGGCGTGTGGTCTAGGGGTATGGCGTCCGCTTCGCATTGATCAAGCTCCAGCTTGCGGAAGGTCCGGGGTTCAATTCCCCGCTCGTCCATTGTTTTTGCCACTTGTTCTTTAATGAGCGTGCTGAATTTTTTTTTATATGTAAGTTATGCCCCAACCCGTCTTGGCATGGGACCCAACCATATCAGGATTATATAGAGCCGCATAAATAGAAACAGGAAATTCAATGAGAGAGGGGGGAGGGAACGGTGTCCAAAGAAAAGTGAGAAAGAAGTCAAAACGACAATGGACAGATGCGCTTGAGTCCCGGTAGAAAAGGTTACTACAGCTTGTCATTATAGTTGGTGGATAACTTACCACTTGTAGTAGTAACTACCCAAGCGATTCTCGCTCGTTGATCCACGCCTCGCAACACATCGCAACAAGCCAGTTCGGCCCAATAAAACAAGAAGAGATAGAGACAAAAAAGATGACAGATGTCGTTGCCTGAAAAAAGATAACAATGGACGAGCGGGGAATTGAACCCCGGACCTTCCGCAAGCAGGAGCTTGACAGATGCGAAGCGGACGCCATACCCCTAGACCACACGCCCTTGGATGAAAGTTTCGTGATCTAAACCAAATAATACACCTGGAAGAGGAACATTGCACGATGAGTGCACAACTTCCCCCGTCATATGCAAAGGTGGGAACGAGAAAAGGCATTGAAGGTAACACTCACAGCACTGGGATATTCTAAACCACTGCTTCACTGCAAGATATTGTCGGTAATTTTGTTAGATATATCAACCACTTCTATTCTAGGCAATTAGATTGGGCTTTGCATCTTGTTGATTTATTCAAAGTTCCAAAGTTGTAACTACAGGGTAACCCCAGTTCAACTACAAGACAACGAGAGACATCACTGGCAGAACTCAATCACAAGCCCAATATACAGACGTAATTACACATTGGTCTTGAATAACACCTATCCATGCTCAATCTATGTAACAATTGATATTCCCTTCCCATCATACCGCTTTAGAAGCACGAGCCTTGTTCTCGCGGTGTCGTTTCTCCTTGGCTGCCGTCTTACGTCTGGTCATCCACGACCGATTCAGATCGCGTCGATTCTCCCAGAACCATGACTGGAACTCGCTAGTACCCACCTGGCCCTGCGAAGAGGGCTGGGCCTGCTCATCGTCCTCGTCCTCCTCTGCAACGTCATCCATATCTGCGTCGTCCTCCTCGGTCCAGAAGTTACGCATGCGAGTTGGGTGTGCCGTGTCCGGCGTGGGTGCTGCACTGCGGGTGCCGCGCCACTCGAGGTCCTGCCGAGTGTACGGAGTCATGGGAACAGTCGGGTTAGGTTGCTCGCCTGTCTCTTCCTCCTCGACGTCGTCCCCACTGAAGAAGCTGAAGGGTTGAGCTTGGTGCGCAGGAGTCTCGGTGAAGTTGTCACCAGCATTAGGGCGCTTGTACAACGCCTCGAGAGGGTGGACTTTGCTGGCGGAGGGGGTGATGGGAGGAGGTATCTTAATGGTGAGGCTTCTCGTGGAGCTTGCGGACATGGGCCGTGAATGGTCGGCCTTGATGGCGGATATAGGGGTTGTATGAGTAGCTTGAGCGGGTGCCTCGCTGTCATCGGAGCTAGACTCGTCATCAGAGTCAGACTTTTTGTTGTCTTTGGTCTCTTGAAACTTTGCCTCCCCCTTCTCAGGTTTCGATTGTGCTTCAGACTCCTCGTCGGATTCCTCATCAGAGGAAGTACCGCTGCTGCTTGTGCCACTGTCGCTCGTGGAATCATCGTCCTCTCCCTCTCCCTCAACCACCTTCTTCGCAATGGGTTTCGACTTCCTGGGCGTCTTCGCAGCAGGGGACGGAGTTGGCCTGGCCTTTACAGCCTCGACTACATTGCCCTCCTCATCCACCCACCCCTTGCCCTCGACGAATTCGGTACCGGCCTTTGATTGGGACTCTGGCGCGGTTTTCAAGAAGCTGGGAAACTTGGTCGTCTTTTCGAACTCATGTACGGTGATATCGCGAGCGTTGCCCTTCTTCTTTCGCTTCTTCGGGAGGTTGTCTTCGGTCAGGTTGCTCACAGCATCTGGTGGAAGCTTCATCTTGAGTAAGCATTCTTCTTGGTCGGTGTATTTGGACTTCTGGCGCTTTTTCTTCTCGGTCGTCTTTCCGTCCTTTTCCTTCTCCTTGTCCTTTTTGCTTTTCTTCCTCCGTTGATCGGCGGGCTCAGTCCAGCCACGCTTGACCTTGCGGTCGGTCAGGGCGACACCTTCGATGACGTCCCGATCGCGTTTTCGTTTCCTTGAGCCTTCTGCCGACTCCGCCGCCTTCTTGGACTTCTTCTTCTTCTCCTTGAAATCCAGCTCGTCCAGCTCGGTACCGGTCGGCTCCAGCCGCTGCTCTGGCCGTGCCTTCTCGATGCGTATCTTGTTCCCCTTCAAGGTAGTGCCATTGAGCTTTTTTTTCAACTTGTCCGCCTCCATGTTGGGTAGCTCGACGTAGCCGTATCGCCTCTCTGGAAAGGTTTCGATGGTGTGGTAGGAAATATTGCGGGCGTGAGTGGCGACGGCAGCGGGCAGGACGATCTTAAGCAACTCGGGGTCGAGGGGACTGATGTGCAACCTGGTGAAGTCGGTTGCGCCGTCGGAGGAGGGGGTTTCAGTTGGCATCGCAGAGGTCGCACCGTCAGTGGGCGAGAGTATGCGACGGCCCAACTTAAGCGCCGGTTGAAGAATTAAGAATTATTGAAAGAGAAACCTGTTTTGGAGAATCGCTGTGTTACCCCTGCCATCAACGCTTCTCAGGAAAAAAAGTACTAAGTAGGACGGGGTTATCTAGCTCCAAGTTTGACGAGCCATGATTGGACGATAGGAGCCACGTTGTTCCGGCCGCTTGCATCTACACGAGTCCCTCAATCAACATGACCAGCTCCTTCACTGTTTGTGTGTTTTTCGAAACACCATCTCGCTTGGCTGCTTGGTAATAATGGCCAAATACTTTGCATTGACAACAACTGAAAAATAAGGATAAAAGGCCGTGTGTCATCGCTACAACCGAGTCTCAAGTGCCGCCAGGGTTATCGCCTTCCGGTGTAAGAACCATTTCCTAATTTGGAAATCGACATCTCGTTCTCTGACACAATTTGTCTGAGATATCCAACTTTGCATCCGCCCTTCCGGCCCAAGAGTATGGCCAAGCTGCCTCGTGACAGCTTCAGGGCTCGGGGTCTCCCCGACGAAAAGGGCTTTAGTGGGAATCGGAAACTTGCCCCATCGTTGTTGGGACGGTGCGCTTCAGTGTAACTCTTTCAGCCGCTTGTGCGACGACATTTGTCGGATACCATCGAAGAAGGCGTACGGAGCTGTCAAGCCCAAGCAGCTTAGCATCTCAGATGAGCGCAAGCGAACTGCTCTGAAGCTGTATCGAGACTAAGGAGCCGAGCTTCTAGAACACTGAGGATGAGTAGGTGGGATAAGAATTGCATAAAAGGCACGAGTATCCAAAGCTTCCAAGTTCTGATTCTAAATATCAACTTCCGTTTAGAGAATTACATCTATTACTCTTGCAAAGTGCTTTTTCTCATTGACTTTATTCACTCTTTGAATCGTTGCTCAAGTTACTTTCGTTCACTCCACACAATGAAAGCCGCTCAGGTCCTCGTTCTTGCTGGCACTGCCTTTGCAGGTTGGTCACACAGATTAACCGCCAAAGACTTCCAAGTTCAACTGTTGACAACCAAATAGTACCCCAATTCTCGAAAAGACAGAACGCGTGCTTCGTCGTCGGTTCCGAAACTCTTCCCGCCGAAGTGGCCGACAGCGCCAACTCCCTCGCCAACACCGTCACATGTGATACCTCGCAGACTACCATAGACGGTGTCCCGGATGTCAGCTCTGGCGGCGTTACCTTCTCGTCAATCAACTTTGCCAACTCGGATCAGTCGCCCTTGGCCTTCGCTCTCGACCAGTTCGCCACTACTTCACCACTTGCTGGAAACGACCTGCAGCAGTTCCAAGACGAGCTCAATACATATCTTGCCACGGAAGCTGGAATCCGCTCTGTTGGTGGAAGCCTTGCCATCAAGGTGCCCAAGTTCTTCCTCCAGTTTCAAATGGCCAGGATTCAGCAAGCCCAGGGGGCCGTGTCTGATGTACCTGGCCAGACAGTCGACCATCAGTTGGAAAAGGTCTTGAAGAATGCAGCTGGGGAAGACCAGGCCCTCCTGGATGAGGTGAACAACTTGGCGGTCACTCTTCAATAAACCTGCATGGTCCCTAATAATATTTTAATACCAAAAATACAATACAGTTTTCCCCCAACTCGTACATTTGACGTTTCAGTCATTATTATAGAAATACAACCCATCCATACAATAAGAGAGGAGAAGGCAGAGGATGCCTATCCAAAATGATGCTGGGAAATTTAAGAACTTGAACGGAACAATGGCGAGGGTTCCTGCTCCCGCCTGTCGCCTCCAATTGCCCTCCACCACGTATCGCTGCTCCATCGAATGATCCTCTCCGCGGCTCCTTGAGGGGTCATGGCTGGCCGGACATCGAGATAGAACACAGGGTCGCCGTTGGGCTCAGGGTCTCCTGAGTAGAAGTCGATGACGTATCGAATTTGCTTCGTCGTGCCGTTGACATCTCGGGCGACGTACCAGTCGTGTCGGTCAAAAGGAGGCTCAAGACTATATTTTTGGTTAGTCGAGATGAGAGTCTGAGATTGGAAGCGAACTCACCCAAACCTGGAGGGATACACCCACCCCAGCACCTGTAGCATAGTGGCCTTGGGGGTCATCTCCTTGGGACGACCTTGGAAGCGAATCAAGGTAGGCTGTTTCTCGGTGCCATCCCAGTGCCGGTCCATTTCCTCGTCCGCGTGCTCCTCGCCTCGTTTGCAAACTTGCCACCCTTTATAAAGACCACCGCTGAAGCGGTTCTCCCATCCAATAATCTCATTCCAGGCACCCTCGTTCAGATAGTTATGGACAGAAACCATACCTTCAACAGCCGTGATATCGGTATCAGTGTATCCCTTTCGGAGCAGGGCGTTGTACATCTGCTGAGGGGATGGGTACTCCCAGTTACCA